ACGTCTTAAATACTACTCTATTAAATCTATTATAAGACTAAATAGGAGCCGGAATAGCGATCTATCGGGAAGAGATAGTGATATAGATAGTACTAGCCGATCTATATAAATTTAAAACTAAATTAATACCTAATCTAGAAATAGATAGAACCCTAGATAGGTCTTTAGATATCTAGAGATAAGAATTAGATTACGCCTAGAGCTTATACTATAAAATAGTAAAGAATATATATAAAGATAAAAGTATCTATATTATAATTATATTAGAAGATCTTTATAGTCTTATCTTAGAATCCTAGAGAGATAACCCCGAAATAGGAAAGATTTATAAAATAATTAACTAGAAAATCCTAGGAGTTAGGACCTAGTTAGTCGATCCTAATAGTATAGTATACTATAAGAAGTAGCTTTATATCCTAATAGATAAAATATTAAAATAAGAATTAGTATATCTATACTATAATAATCTAGTTATAGGTAGATATTTCGGATAAAACTATACTATTAAACTCTTAAATCGGAAGTACTACTAGAGAAAGATCTATAAGTATATTAATAAATATATTAAGTTCTATCTAGTCTACTAAGGAACTATATCTCCTAAATATTAAAAGTATAGAATCTTAAAGCTACTACTAATTCCTTTCTAACTATAGTAAGAATCCTCTATAGACTTTATTATAGGCTTTCTACTAATAATCTATAAGAAAAGTAAGATCGATATAATCCTAGTTATTATAGACTATTTTACAAAATTCGTAAAATTCTTTCTAGTATATATAACTATCGATATAGTATAACTTATAGAGCTATACTATAATAAGATCGAGCTAGTCTTTAGACTATAAGAAGGAATTATCTCTAACCGTAATAGTATCTTTACTAGTAAATTCTAGATTAACTTATTCTACCTAGCTAAGATAAAACTTTACTTCTCGATAGTATTTTACCCCTAAACTAATAGCTAAATAGAACAGATAAACTAAATCTTAGAATATTACTTATAGTACTTTACTAGTAAGAAATAGATAGTCTAGCTAAAGCTACTATAGTTAGCGGAATTCTACTATAATATATATATTAATATAATAACTAAATTTAGTTCTTATAAAGTATTTTATAAGATTAATTCCTTATTCTATCTCTATAATAAGACTATTACTTAAGAGAGAGAAGTACTAGAAATAAATATAAGACTTAAGAAACTTATAATACTCTATAAAAAGCTAACGGAATATTAGTAAAAAGTAAATAAAACTATAGAGAAATACTATAATATAAAAAGAATCCTTATATTCTTTAAGTAGGATAATCTAGTTATATTATTAATATAAAATCTATAAATTAAGAAGTTAAGAAAGCTATTACTAAAAAGGATTAGTTCTTTTAAGATCCTCTAACTAGTTAGATCCTAAGTCTACTATCTTATACTACTAAAAAAATATAGCTATCTATATAATATCTTCTATATCTCTCTCCTCGAGAAATAGAATAATAATCTAGTATAAAATAGTATTAAAAAGATACTAATATCTAACTTAGCTAAAGAAGAGGATAAGTATAAAATAGAAGAAATTAAAAATAAAACTAAGATTAATTAGTAGCTTTATTTTCTAGTTAAATAGAAGGACTAGCCTTCTAAATATAATAAAGAGATCTCTAACTATAATATAGAGAATATAGTAAAAGCTATTATATAATTTTAAAAATATAAGAAAACTAAAGTAGTAAAAACTAAATAATAAATATAAGACTTAAGACCGAAATATCCCTAAACTATTCTTAGAACTCCTCTATAAACTCTAATACCTAATTATATATAGCTATAGCCTTAGCTACTAATATTCTATAATTATTTATTATATTTCTTAAATAAGTTATAAAATTTACTAGACCGACTTACTATAGTATAAATCTAGTATCTTCTTTCTCTAGATCTAGTAGTATATTAATCTACTCGGTCGGAGCTCCTATAATTAACGCCTAATTATAGCGCTAATTATTTATCTTTATATAGTAGAAATAGTAGTAATACTACCCGAGTTAGCTTATATTTATATAATCGAAATACTAGGTTTTTCTTACTAACTATATATATTTTAGGCCTTCGAAAAAATACTCCTTCCGATAAATAGTAGCTATACCTATAAAGATAGCCGCTAGATTCTTACTTATAAAGAAGAGATCGGTATATATTATAACTAGCTAGATAAGAATATATATTAGTCCCCTAGCGATATTTAACTCTTAGGTTTCTTTAAAGATCGTCTAATAGATTTATAGATACTACTAGAATACTTATATATCCTATATTATATCTATAAGAACCTAGGATAGATTAATATCGAATTATTACTCTTTTATAAAGGTCTAGAGTTTCTTACTAGCTTATATAAGTTATACTAACTATTATATAACTTATATAATACTAAACTAATTCGATCGAAAGTATAAACTACCTAGGATAACTCCGAAGTAGTAAAATAGTTATATAAACTTTTAGCTTTCCTAAAATACTATATATACTAAAGATATTTATAAGTTATACGAATATAGTTTAGTACCGGAGAAGTATATCCGATACTATCTATTTTAGTATAGTAGTAATAATTATAAGAAGTAGGAGATATAGTATCTAAGAAAGAAGAAACTTAGAGTTAATATTAGATAACTACTAGGAGATAGGAATCTTATCTCTACTTATAGTAGAGACTATAATATCTCTAAGAGCTTCCCGAAATATCCTTCTTTTCTACTTATTTATACTTAATCCTATAATCGCTAGTTCTTTTAAGTATACTAAAAATAAAATTACGACTATATATATACTAATATTATAAGATACTATAAGAAGCCCTAATTAAGGTAAGTTCCTATAGTTATATATATACTAATTACGGTTTAGCTATATCTTATCTTTATTTAACCCTATTTATTATCCTACTATTATAACGGTCCTAACTTATATCCGATTCCGCGATAGCATCTTCTTTATTAGTATAGCAGACCCCGCTACCCTATCTATAGTCGTAGCTCGGGTAATATAAAGGAATATTATTATCCGATAGAGATATAAATATTACTATATATAGTATATAGTATATATATAAACGGCTAAAAACTTAGGAGACTTCTAGCTAGAACGTCTAGTATAAAGGAGGGGATTAATTATTACGGCGCGACCTACTAAGGCGCGGTCGCGGGAGAATCACGTACGGAACGCTAACAAATCTATCCGGGTTATAGCCCTAAGGATATAGGCCCGGTACGTAGGAACTATATATATAATAATCGCAGAAGGGAGGAAGAACTCCGACCTTTAAGATTTAGTCTTTAAATTTAAGCCCCCCTAGACTTCGATCCTTTACCTAGTTAATAGTCCTAGTCACCCTACGATCCTAACCCTAATACTACGATCGTTAGGTTATCCTACGTAATAATCTATCGGTAGGCCCTCCTATAGCTTCGCGGAAGCTAGGCTCTCGGACCCTATTATCTAACCTCGGATCCCTATTATCCTATATATTTAAACCGAAGGTTTAGAACCTCTTTAGTATCTTATCCCTACCGCCTTAATTTACTAATTAATTGATTAGGTTAATAGAAATAGGGTTAAAGAGAAGTCTCCTAAAGTATAGGGAGGAAGGACTATAAGATAGATACCTAGAAGAGGACCGATAGGGATTCCTAAGAATTAGTCTTTATACTAATTTAACTACTATAAGCTACCTCTTTCCTAATAATTAAGTCTAGCTATCTTACTAAAGTAGTTATCTTAATAGTTCTAATTCTTCTCCCTATTATTACTATAAGAGATAGTACTATAAACCTATAGTTATACTAATAAGTTCTAGGAGCTATAAATTAAGGAATGTTAGGGTCAGGATCGCAGGGTGACTAGGACTGTTGACTAGGCAAAGGATTGAAGTCTAGGGGGCTCAAATTCAAAGACTGAATCTTGAAGGTCGGAGTTCTCCCTCCCTTCTGCGATTATTGTACATGTGGTTCCCACCTGCCGGGCCCGCATCCTTAGGGCTACAACCCGGATGGATTCGTTGGCGTTCCGCACGTGATTCTCCCGCGACCGCGCCTTGGCAGGTCGCGCCGTGACATATATTAGATTTTACGTTTTAAAGCTTTCTCCTCTAAGAGGACTAAATTTATTAAATTTTAGCTTTATTATTATCTAAACCTTAAGAACTTTCTTTAAAAACGCCTAGAAAATAGTAGATTACTAGGAACGGTAAGATTTTTGGGATAGAGAAGGAAGCCTCCGGAGAAGAAGGTTAAGTATAGATAAATTTATACTAAATTCTACGGATTTCTTCTATAGAAGATATCGATCTATAATACTACTACTAAAAACCTATAATATTATCTCCTTTTCTAGACTTAGGATTTTAGTTTCCTTCTATAAAAAGATACTATAATATCCGCCGCGATGTGATCCCGGGCCTGTAGCTGCCTTAGGCACCCTAACCCTTCCCTTTCGCGATGACCAGAACTAGATGAGCCATAACCTTACCGTACGGCTCCGGTCGGTCACGTGAGGACCTTTAGTCCTCTGTATATATATAGTCACTCCCGTAGCCATACTTAGAAGAACCATGTCCTATCTACCCTCTGGATCTCATTTGCGCCGAATCTGCGTATATAGGGTGTTGAAAATGCAGTTATTTTGCAAGTTTCTGAACAGGCAGTATAGTAGGAAGTGTTAAAACCTCACGTTTTGCGCTAAATAGCGCTTATAGACTGATGAGATACGGCTACGGTAGGGGCAGCAGTATCGATGTGTGAGAGGGATAAGGAGTGAGATTGTTAGGGGGGGGGGAGGGGGGGGAATTCTACCTAAGCTATGGACTGTGGTGAGCGGCAGAATCATATTTCATACAAACATATATTAAGCCTTATCGCATAATAGATACAGCAGTACATATGGATAGATATAGTAGGGGTGTATCGGTAAGTAATTAACGCTCACGTTTATGGATTAACTAAGTTCACACAATGGCCGAAAAGTGCAGGGCCTCCTCCACATCATCGCGTTGAAACCCAGGTGTCCGACCAAGGCAAACTCCTCTGCTGATCAACGCTACAAAGGTCAGGATAATATATTCACTAAGGACCAGGGACAGACTTACCTGATATGAAACGTGAGACATTGATATTGGTCTGCACTTTCGAGCGTCTTGTTGGCTCACCGGCCGACGCAACCAGGAGGACATTCTTGTCTCGAAGATACCCCTCCAGATCTTGCAAGTTAAACCAATCCCCTTCTAGCTGCTTCCGTGAATCTACCGTGACCAGTGATAAGGGGTCCTCAACGGTGCCCCATCTCTGGTAATGAGGGATAAATGCACCCGTGTCCCCGTCGGGATAATGCGTTCCCGCACCCCCTAACCTAAAAAAGGGGACTTCCTCCCATCCGTCCAGCGGCTTTTGGCTTACTTGAGCATATAATTCCGCTTTGAAGTAAGATGTCAGGCGTTCGCGGTTCATCATACTAAAAATGAGCCCAAAGGGCCTTTGGAGTTGATCCAAGCTGATAGATGGATTGCATAGAGCGAGATATCCCTGGTAGAGAGCTGCTAGGAGCAGCCTTTTGCTGAATGCGGATACCTCTAGAATCGGCATTCCCGGTGAATTGACGGTATATGGCAGGACAGCACTGTTTGGATGAGATAATTTAGTGCCGTCTAGGGGCAGGTGGAAGGGAATGTTGGATGACGGGCGGTTGATTGTGAGTTGTTGTGAGGCTGGTAGTGAGTCAATTGTCTTATTAGAGTCAACCGGGACCCTGATCTCGTCGTCCAGGCTTCCTCCTGACGCCATGGTAAGGAAGATCTTCATCGTGTCACGTAAATTCGCTGTCAGAGTAGAGTGTGACCTAAGCACTCCACTTTGGACTAGCTGCTCACTAAATGATAGCATAGCAGAGCTCATTCTCTCAATTGAGGTCTCCAAAAGTGAGATGCGGCTTTTGAGGCCTTCGACTGAGGCTTGCTGTCGTGAACGATATGCACGTTGCGCCATGCGAGTTTGTATGCGACGACGCTGTCACAAGAGTGGTCCGGTTAAAACTCTCACAACAATAGTAGAGGTCGACTGATACCATACGAACCTCTTCAGTATTGTCCTTACTATTACTAACTCCTTGGGGGGCTCCACAGTCCTTCGCTGGTGCGGCCTTCTGAGGTCCACGTCGCTGTCGTTTTTGCGGTCGTGGTGTCGTCGGTTTAGAGACGGGTGTTTGGTTTGTGTTCGTCCGGCTCAAGGGAGATGCAAGCTCAAGGGCGAAGTCGCTAGGACTGGGTGATGGCGTACCACTTTGAGCATTTTGTGAGTTAAATGATTCGGGCAGGGGATAGGAGCGGGCTGAGAGCAATGAGGTGATGTCAGCTCTCGCGGACTCCTGTAATAATGGGCGGCTGTGTTCGGGTAACGATGTGCTTCGACGGAAATCCTCCCAATTGAAGAGAGGCAGGTCGCTGGATAGCGGTAATGGTACTTGTTGGTCCATGAAGTGACGAATATAGTCACGGATAAGCTCAGCGTGAAGTCAAGCGATAGTCTGTCAGCCAGGAGAAGAGACTGACTGTATTAGAGTCCGATCAGCGCTGCCTGGTCGACTAAATAATTATTTCAGTAGACAGGCCTTTTCAAGATGAGTAGGATGAGGGGTGATCCTATCCTGGGAGAAGGATGAACATTCGTAAATTGCCCCGTGGAGGCAAAATTAAACTTCGGCTCGGCATGATCACTCATCATTCCGTTTAGTGACGCATCGAAGAAGTTCAGGAGTTCTTGCGTCCAAACAAACCTACATGCTTACTAAGGGGTCTTGAAAAGGCCGGGGGCAAATCTGTTTAGCAGAACAGCCGGAAGCAGACAAAATTTGTGCGGAATGGATACTATTGACTTGACGCTTTAGAAGACAAGGACTAAAAATGAGGACATCTTTGGACCACGCTTTTCCCCTCTTTAAGCTACTACAAGGAAAGCTTCTTCTATGGACCTGCCAGACCGAAGGGCGGACCACGCTTTTTCCTGCCCCTTTAAGCTATCCCAGGCAGCTTCTGCTTCTCTCGACAGACCGCTTCGTAGGGCGGACCACGCTTTTCGATGTAAGTCTACAACGAATCATTAAATTCAACATAGCTACACAGTTCCAGCTCTTTTGGACAATCGGTCAGATCGTGTGAGTTCAAAAGAAATGTCTTCGTCATACGACAGCTTGCTTTTCGCTGATCCCGCTTACAGGAGTCCTTCCTGAGTAACAACGTCACTAATCATTGAAGCAGTATCCAGGTCTTCCACGGTTCCAAAATGATGCGACATCATCATCCAAGGCTGCCAACGCCCTTGCCGGAGCCTTGCGCCCTTGGGGCATATGTGAAGACCCTTTACAGCCACGATGGTCCAGAAGCCAAGTGTGAAAGCACCCGGAGGTGCCGATGTTCGACGACCGACTAATCGACTGACATATGAGGTTATGAATCAAGGCCAAAAACGCCCCATCTCAAATGCAATAAGGAAAAGCGAGCCGAAACGAGGCCGGGCGGTGGAAGGCAGTGCAGATCGTACTTAAGTACTCGGGGAGAGATCGCAAAGAATAGGCTATTTTGCTTCGGAGGCAAATACGGTGGGAGGACAGTGAACTAAATCAGTAGCAAAGGTGTCTCACTAGTAACGCGCGCATAGGGAAACGGTGATGAGTAGAGTAGAAGGGAGAAGAAATACGAGAAGCTGAAGCGGTGATTGAAAGAGGCACGCGAAATTGCATCACGTGCATGGCTTATGTCTTTTATCTCCATTGTCTCCCGTACCCACTCACGAACTTGTACGCGATGCGTTGGCCGAAATAGAGGTCGAAGTGCTGATCTGGCCGCGACATTCGCCAGATCTGAATCCTCTTGAGAATCTCTGGGCCCTTCTCAAGGCAGAAATCTACAAGATCCAGCCTAATCTTATGCATACTAGCCATCCTAGGACCAACGTGGTCTTAGGACTGAAAATGTGTCTCGTCAGAGGCCACAACAACATTATAAATCCTAAATTACCTATAATTACACCGAGCCAGTATGCTAGCCAGATTTACACCAGGTTTATACCAGATCCGCAGCCAGTATCGCAGCTAGTATCGCAGCCAGATCCGCAGTCACTATCGCAGCCAGATTTACACCAGCAACACAGCCATCATCACAGCTAGTAACGTAGCCAGCATCGTAGCCAGCATCGCAGCCAGGAACGCAGCCAGGAACGCAGCCAGTAACGCAGCCAGTAACGCAGCCAGATTTACACCAGCAACGTAGCTAGTATCGTAGTTAGTAACGTAGCTAGTATCGTATCTAGTAAAGTAGCCAGTAACTGTGACGCATGAGCAAAGGTCAACATATCAACTAGCGAGTTAGTTGACTAGTTCGTGGCTGGACTTGGGGAGTGGAGGTCGGAAGATGAGTTAACTAGTTAATTAGTCAGTCGACTAGTGAGTCTTCGCGAACTAGTGAGTTTACTCACTAGTTAGTTATTAACCAGCGAGCTGTAGTTAACTAGTAGGTTAGGTAACTAGTTAGTAAAGAAGGACTTAGAGAGTTAAGACGGAGGTTATATAACCAATATTATAACCACGAAGTTAGGTAATTATACTTACATTATCGCTACCTATAGTCCTATCTATATAGAAGCGCGGGACCTAAGACTTATTTATTTTCTGTTTATATTAATAAGGAATCTTCTGTATAGATCTTTCTATAGGAATCTACTATCTTACTATACCCTACTCTATAATAGATATTATAGTAGGGAATCCGGTTGTATATATATAGAGCAGATAGTCTATTAAGGTATATATGCCTAATAGTGGCCTTACGGTCGGGAGAGGCTATTTAGATATAAGGAGAGGGAGTTAATCAACTTAATAACCATAATAAAAGATAAGAATAAGTATAATCACGGGCCTATAGCTACCTTAGGCATCCTAACCCTTCCTTTTCGCGATAACTAGAGCTAGATAAGCTATAACCTTACTATATAGCTCTATTCGGTCACGTAAGAACCCTTAGTCCTCTATATATATATAGTTACGTCTATAGCTATACTTATAAGAACTATATCCTATCTACCCTCTAGATCTTATCTAGTAGTAAACCCTTATATTAGCTAAGCCTCTATACTTAACTACTCGAGAGTAAAAGCTTACTTAGAACTATACTTACTAAGCTATCGAGACTAAATAATCCCTAAAGATCTAGCTTTAATTACCGACTACTTATAGTACTAAATAAACCTCTTCTTACTATACTAAAAATCTTAAAAATTATATAATAGTATAAGAGAGGGCTCGAATCCTAAAAAAACTCTACTTAGCTATAGTCGGTATATAGGGTATCCTTCTAGAAGAGATCTAATCTACTAGTAGTTAAATAACTAGAAGTAAAACTAGAAGGGAGATATCTAATTAGAAATAAAAGCTTCCTTATTTAAATAAACTATAATCCTTATTAATTTATAGAATACTAAAGTATATAATCCTCTCCTAATAGAATTCGATATATAGGAAAACCTATATAGGACTTATATCCTATACTCTAAATTCCTTATACTACCCCTAGAACCCTCTTACTAGCTAATATCTAGTATACTATAACTAGTATTACTATCGACTAGTAATACTCTAATAATCTTACTAGCTAATATAGCCGAATCTCTTCGAGGCTCTTACTAAAGTATCCTTAATCCTGCTCCTTAGAAGAAGATTATCTATTAAGCTATCTTTAACTAAATCTCGACTACTTAATATCTCCTAGGATAGATACTATAGATATATCTATCTCTAGCTAATTAAGATAGTACTAGTATACTCTAAGAATCTAGTATAGATACTACTATCCGAAAATAACTAGTTAAAATAGTCCCGAAAATTAAGGATTATACTAGTATAATTAGGAATAATAGAGCTAGAGAGTATCTATATAACTATAAATACTTCTTTATAGAAGTAAACTAACTCTCTAACTTAATCCTCTAGGACTTAACTAAGATTATATATATATCTAGAGCTCTAGTAGATAATATATAGAAAGCCTACTATATCTAGTCTAAATATATTAACCCGATATATAGTATATAATATATCGCTACTTAGGCTAAGTTCCGAGAATAGATTAAATATAAATTCTCGGAGTATATTAGCGCTAAATATAGGCTTAACTAACTTATAATCTATAAGTAAGATAGCTAGTAGGGATTTACTAAGTATACCTATAACTTATAGTAGCTCGTAGCCGATTATAAATATAAATTTCCCGAAGATTATTAGGGTTAGGATCGTAGGGTAACTAGGACTATTAACAAGGTAAAGGATCGAAGTCTAGGAGGCTTAAATTTAAAGACTAAATCTTAAAAGTCAGAGTTCTTCCTCCCTTCTATAATTATTATATATATAGTTCCTATATACCAGGCCTATATCCTTAGGGCTATAACCTAGATAAATTCGTTAGTATTCTGTACGTAATTCTCCCGCGACCGCGCCTTAGTAGATCGCGCTATAATAATTAATCTCCTCCTTTATACTAGATATCCCGGCTAGAAGTCTCCTAAGTTTTTATAATATATAGGTAAAAGTTAATAGTTAACTAGTAGATTAGTTAACTAGTTCGCGGATAAACTTAAAGAGTAGAGCTAGGTAGAGGAGTTAACTAATTAGTTATAGTAGACTAGTAAGTTTACTAACTAGTTAATCGATAGACTAGTAAGTTAGTATTAACTAGTAAATCGGTTAGCTAGTTAATAGAGATAGACTTAGAGGATCGAGGAGGATATTATATAACCGATATTTATATTTATAAGATTAGATATATATCTATATATTATTAATAGTTAGAGCCTAAGAATTATTTATCTTTCTATCTATTTCTATAGGAGTACCTTCTATCTAGGACTTTCTATAAGGATTCTACTATTTTACTATAGTCTATCCTATAATAAATATTTATAGTAGTATCTTACCTTTCTTATTTCTTTCTTTCCTTTTTCCTCTTCGTCTTAGTTTCTTTATTATATAGGATATAGTTATTTTACCTTCTTTCTTCTATATATAGATTCTCGTAGCTATACTATCTAGGAGTTATATAAAACTAAGACCTACTATATTCTCTTATCTATATATAATAGACCGATACTTATTACGAGTTATTAAGTCTCTATATATTATCTCTTCTTATTTTTCTTTCCTCTTTAAATAATAGATATAGTAGTATCTATTAATATAGTATATCTAGGTATTAATAAAGATCCTAGTTAGAGAGAGTTATATAGAGTATATTAATAAAGCTCCTTAGCTAGACCTAATAATCTTCCCTATAAAGACTATAATATATATTTTATTTAGGTTATACCTTAACCGGATAATATACTTAAGTATTTATATAATAGAAAACTAAGCTATAAGGATTTTATCGACTTAGTATAAAATAAACCTAGGTTTATATTCGACTTAATATAGGATATATAGCGAGTAATAGTTAATTACCTATATTATCTCGATAA